ATAATAGAGCTCATTCTTAACCAAATATATCTTCATTTATATTTTTTTTTGTACACAAAAAATATTTGATATAAAAACGACAAAACAAAATAAATAAGTAAATTTCAATTATAATGGAGTTCTTCATATAACACAAATGATTTTGAACGATATTTAAGTACGGATTCAAGAACCCAATCAGATGAAACGAAATGTACACCTAATCAACGACATTGATCATAATTATGACGTCGTTCTGATACATATAATTTATCACAGAGAACAACAATTTCAAATTGATCAAGTAAATCCCTTGTATCACGCATGTTTTTATTCGTCCATCACCTGTTCTGATTAAATCTTGTAAACGATCATTTGTCATTTTAATATCATTATTTTCTGTACATTTAATCATAAAACATATATTTTCAAAAAATGAATGACATTTATCAATTGAACGTGAAAGTTTTGGACCAGCTTGAGAATGATAATCTGTATCATCACCTTCAATTTCATATTCACTTTCATCAACAATTCGATCATATTTAATACAATCAATAACCAACGATATGAAACACAAAAACAATGATTAACTATAGCTTCAATTAATTTCATTGATAATGGTGAACGTAATGTATGTTTATCATTAGGGTGGGTGTGGGGGTGGGGGTGGTATGGGTGTGTGTGGGTTTTATTCAACTGGAGACTCACACCCACACCCAGATATTGCTATTTAGTTTTTTTGATTCTAATAAGTTGAATACAAGAGAAAATAAAAAATAACATAGCCATCAGTGTCAATGCGAGAAAATTCTTCCATAAATCCCATGCATAGCATGAGCGAGTGCTCTCTTATCAAGTATCTCATCACCTGTCATTGAACAAAAATCAGTTTGATTTGGTAAACAGAAAGTTAAACCTTGAAATTCATTAATAGTAAGGACATTTGAAGCATATCGAAATGCATTAATCCATTGGATCCATGACAGCCAACTAAAAATACTTGATAAATCGATAAGAAATCCACTAAACATCATCATTATGACAAGAACAAGAATAACAACAATTAGAGCCACAGCTACAATGAACAAATATATGAGAATATATAGAGAAAAATATGTATTTTGACAATAATTAAAGATAATTATTGCTCAATACAAGCTAACTTCTTCAACAAATATCTAATAGAATTCTACGCCATCTAGTCATTTGTTAATTATCACTGTAAAGGCTCAAATCTTTTTACGTTTTTCTTTATTTGCTTTTTCTTTATTTTCTGAGCAAACAGATCTTATATGTTAGGTATTAAATTATTTGCAACAAAGCCCACCATTTTACCTGTATTTTTCTTTTCTCAAACTCGAAACCAAACCACGATTTATGATACTCTTAGTCTCTATTTAATCACATAAAACCTTATTATGTAATAATATCTGAAACATGATTATGAAAAAAAAACCTAATCTTACCAAAGATAGATATGGTAGCCGAAATGAAAAAGCACATAGCTGATCCAAATAGACTGGCCATAAAGATTGTTACAAGAAAAATAAAGAATTGTCCACCAGTTCGAGTTAAGCCTGTCATAAAATAAGAGATAATGGAAAATAATATAGCTGGTATTACACGCATAGGTATTAAGTCGCATATTAATTTGCCAATAAAAAACGTGAAGATTCTGTAATAACCACTTGAATGTTCCTGAAAGACATTAAATATAATTTTTTCATTTTAGTATATGAAAAGATTACGCGAATGAAAAGTACACGTTCTTTAATCAGTGGTTCAAGTGCTGTCAAATTGCTAAAAATTTGACTGATGACAATAAAAAAAATTGCACCCAAACGATTTTGAACACCAGGTTCAGTTGTTTTCTTTAACTCATAAAACAATAATCCAGCTAACAAACCAATAATAATAGAAGCAAGAGTTTGTGATAATGCTAATGCTGGATTACGTACAGCATTACGTAATGTTCGCTGTGACAAATAAAAGATTTCTGCTCCAATTGAACGAGCTGCTTTCACCTTATATTTTCGTCGTTCATCTTCAATATAGTCATTACTGGTTGAACTATATTGTCG